CCCGACGGGGTTTTTGTTTTTTTTTTTTTCCCCCCCCCCCCCCCGACCACAATGAGCGGTTAACCCTTGCAGTAGGGGGTAGCCCCACTGCAAGGGTTACATTATAAAAATCATGGAGTTCTTATTTAACAATGCTTCTAGATCTTTAACCCTTTACTGGGACAAATCTGTTTTACAAATGATAATCAGATCTGCTAGCCCAGTATAGACAGGGTTACATGTGTTAACATTAACCTGCCCAGCCCTCCCTCCCTTGTATTGTGCAAGCAGCAATTAAAAACAAAATTGCTGTGTGAATAGGACCATTTACCAAATATAAAATACATGTTATCCCAATTTGGCTGCAAAAGTGGAAATACACTGACATTTTTTTAGATTTCACTATTGCCTTTACAAAATAATCTCAGAATATGTTATGGTGTATTTAACACAGAACTAATTTCTACTGATGTATCACTGAACAAACAATATTTATGGATGATTTAATTTTATTTTTATAGAATATGAGCTGTTGAAATTTCTTTCTTCTGAAAGCACAGAAACAAAAACAAGTTGGCTAGACACTTGTAAGAGATTGTTCTGCAAGACGATCAAAACTAAACCAGGAGTGTTGGGATCTGGTAAGTGCTACACGTATTAGATGCCAAATGTGAAAGTAACTTCCAGTAAGTTCAATGTTACTGCTGAGAAAAGGGTCACAGCAAAGGCTCAGTTCACAAACACCAGGATAAGGATCCTATTTATCAAAAAAGTAAACCTTATTTTTCAATGAAATTTCTAAAATGACAGTTCCATGTCTGAAAATAAAAATCCTTATTCTTGGGTAAAGTTGTGTGTGAAGAGCCTAAAAATATATCTAAACTCAAGAACAAATGTGATTTATTTTGGAGCTTACCAGCCATTAGAAGTGGTGTTTTTTGACAACTTTCCCTCACTGGTCTGTATTCATGGGGGAGCAGTGTTGTTGCTCTAAGACCTGAAAGTGTTTTAAGACCACAGTTGTTTTTCAGAACACAGTGCCCTCATCTCCCCTCCATATCAAAAGAGGGTGTTCCATTTGTCTACAGAGAGAAATTAAAACATTGTTAACTGATAACAGTCAACAGAGGCACAGCACAGGAAATTATCCGCTCACAAGATTTCTGTCAGATCCAGCAGGCATTGTTTGAGGACCTGTTCACGCTGTGGGGTTGTGGAAACGCATGCATTTCCCAATGCCATAGTGTGAATGGGCCCTGAGTGTTATATAATATATGCAAATCGTGAAGTGGTGCAATAGCTATTAAAGTATATCTGATAGACTGTGAAAAACAATATTGTTTAACGTACGTAGGGCATCATCAGGGGTCTGATGAAGTCACGTATTTTGACGTAACGTACGTAGGGCAGAGCTTCTGATGTCACTGCACTGAGCTGAGCCGGACTAACAGGTTTTTTTATCGCTTTGCTGCCATTTGCCCTGCTGGTCTGATCCAGCAATACCCAATGCCTGTACTGTTTATATCATTGTGAGTACGCATTTTTTATTTAATAAATTGCATTTTATTGGACGTTAAGCACTATGTCCTTGTCCTTTTTCTCTTTCCACCTGGATTTATACTGGTACCTGTGATCTGAGGAGACCTTATCGCCTTTTCTGTGCATGAGCTTCCCTCCCCCATTAAGAAGGGAAAAAGCGCATTTGACCTAGCTCTGTAGGTCTACCTCCCCAGGTGAGCACTCACTTGTTGTCATCACTCACTGGGTGGAGGTGAAGGTCTGCCTGCATTGTGTGATTATCCTTACCTGAGAGTTATATGCAGATTGGCTGCGAATCATCTGAAGGATTTTTTTTGCACAATCACCATTGTTTGCTTTTGTTTTTTCCTTGAAACTTGTTATTGTCTATATTGCTTTTTTGTCTTTGTGTAGATATTTGATATGCCTCATTTGTTTGAAGGCTCATATATGTGACTCACTTATATATGTTTCACTTTATTAGATGTGTATGATTATTAGCTCGGCACAATATTGTTTTTCACATTTTTTAGATATTTAGCTATATCCTTAGTGCTTGGTAGCTCTTATTTCCACATTACACTTACTGGCGCTGATCACCTTTATTGTTTATTTTATATCTGATAGACTGCTGGAAGAAACCTAAGTGTTTTATTTAAATAACGCCCATTATGTTGTCCCAATGAGTCATCATTCATTAGCTTTGTCATTTTTTTATTTTAAATAGTTAAAGTTTATTGAACATTTTAAAGACATGGGCAAAGTTCAAGACAAAAATTTGTTTCATAGACATGACAGGGAGTACAAAAATATATTCCATGAAGATGACTCATCCATGCTACACAGGTTTAATGCAAGGCCAAGTGTGTAAATAGGGTCAATTGGGTTAGCCACTGTGCTTAGAAAGCACATTTTATGGGATTATAGCTGAGTGATTTTATATTGTCTTTTACCAAACAACTTGTACTTGAAATAAAGTATGTGCAAAAAAATACTTTTTGTGCACTACACTAGCAATCAAAGCATTCTGCTTTTCATATTATTCAACCAAAATGCTTCTTGAGCCCACGATTTCCAGTGTTGTACCAGTATTAATGGCAGGTAGACATTTTTGCTCATAGAATTAGCACATGTTTGTCCTCTGGCAGGACTTCTGTTCCTGCAATGACATATATCTTTACTAGCTTAGCACAAGAATATATATGTTTTTTAATTATAAGTAAGATATGAGCTGTTATTGGTTTGTCTGCGGCAGATATTTTAATTATGATCAGTAGTATTTTATATGTAGGTTCATATATGTACTTATTTTCGTTTGCGCTAAAGTAACCAATGTATTTAATCATTTTGTATATGCACTAGATAAAAAGTGGAAAAGGTGTAGGATATTTGGACACTGAAGAGCACATTTGACAGAATCTACAAACTTAAGTTAAACCTGTGCCCACACTATCCACACAAGTATTTCCATATTCTGAACAAACAGGAAAAGCACTTTAAAACAAACCCTCTGTAGCTATAGGAGTTGTGGAGAATCTCATTTTCAGAGTTCACAATAGAAGCACTAAAATCTCATGTTTTTTTCTATGAGAAAATATTTTGGCAGCCTTTTTAACCTTCTAATGGTGTCCATACACTGCACGATTCTTGTACGAGAATCGTGGGAAATCCCGCGATCGTACAATAATCGTGCAGTGTATGGAAGGCGTGCGACCGTTTCTACTGTACGGTCGCACGACTTTTGTATTTCAAGAATGTTGGAAAACCAGCAGAGAATCGTACGATTTCCGGCTAGTTTTTAGCATGATCGAGAGATAACTGCTGAACGAGCAGGGGTGGGCTTGTGATGTTCGCAAGTACGATCTGCCTGTCTAAGATGGGCAGATTATACGTTTTGTTAATTACTTTACAACCCTCGCAAGACAAAAGTCTTGCGAGGGTTGTAAAGTGCATGGGCACCTTAATGCAGACAACTAGCAGGTGTTTCTAACCTGTTAGAAATTGGATGAAACCTAACTTCAGGTTCTTGAGTGTGGGTTTATTTTAAAACTATTTTACTGCTTGTTAAGTGTATGTAAATAGTAAAGCATCCTTAGTCTTTGCATAGGTGCAATTTAACTGTATAACTTGTTTAAATAAACCTTCCCGGTGCCATTTATAAATAAAAACACTTCACTTTTTGCATTCCATGCAAGCTCTATCTATATCTACCTCATATTATTTCTGTAACAAGATCTTATATATGTATCAATATAAACAGTATCGGGTATATTTATAAAGCAGTGATTGTGATATTCACCAAACATTCACTGCATACGTAGCTTCCTGGTGCATGTGTTTTAAATTATAGTGATTGATTCACTTTCAGTAAATGTTTGGTATAGGTTGCATTCACAGCATTATTAAAGGAGAACTATGAGATGAGTGATTTCCACTCACCTCATAGTTGTAAGCCGACCTGTGACAATGAGACTGTCACAGGTCGGGTCAGTAGATCGGGAGGTGAGGGAACACATACCCGGTTCCCCCACCTCTCGATCCTGTCACGGCTCTCTGCTGTGACAGGGGGAGGGGCTGGATTCCCCTCTCCCCGCTCCGATCTGCCAGCGCTGACTGGCGGAACGGACGGGGGAGGGGGCGGGTACAGCTGGCTCTGCCTCTAGATAGGCAGAGACAGCTGTCACTCACGCAGCTGGGCGGATCCCGTCATCTACGTCGGGATCCGCTCCAGGTGCGGCGTCTCAGTATACCGCGAGCTGTAGCTCGCGGTATACTGAGCTTAGGGTAACGGGAGGACGCTAGTTTGTGTCCTCCCGTTACACTAAGGAGAACTATGGGGGAAAACACTGACCCCATAGTTCTCCTTTTAATATGCCCTTAGATATCAGCACTGCGTGTCAGTCTAGCCTAATCCATGTTTTTGTTCCTTTTGTTCTACTTCTCATTATTATTATTATTATACAGGATTTATATAGCGCCAATATATATATTTATCTCATAAATATAATAAATATATTTATTCTCATATATTTGTGCTAATTTAATGTTGAAACATGTATTTTTAAATAAAAAGCAAATGTATCAAAAAAGGAAGAGAAATCGTTTTCCTTAAAATGCATATGCAAAAAGCATAAAATAGAACCTAAAAAAAAACCCAGACAATAGGAATAACTGCAAAATACGAAAGCTTGTGGTCTTATACATTGCATTCTCAGACTTCAGTAATTCATTCCAGATGTCGTGTGAAATCTGCATTGTGCTCTGTGCTGCTCTTGTTTTATTGGTGCTACTGAATCGCAACATTGGATACACCATTTTTCCAATTGGTTTGGTTAATAGGATAGTTAAGATGGTTTAACGGTGTAAAAGTACAGATTCAGTTCATTGGAGACGGTCTGGTAGAAGCTAGAGCATTTTGTATGAATGCATTCTGTTTAGAATATGCCCTATGTTGTTTAAATTCTGGAGAATGTTTTATTTCTTTTGGATAAAATGGAAAAGTTACTTAGAATAACATAAGGCATAGTCTTTGGTATGCCTGTTATATGCATTGTGGATACAGAATATAGCTTCATACTCCTATGCAATCCGATAGTCACTGTGTCCATCATGGTGCCACGGTTTCACACTTTAAAATATATGGTATGGAATAATATGAATGTATTGGAGAGCTGTGCTGATTTTTTTTTACTTTAATATTTGCCCACATATTCACTGTACATCCTTAAGCAGTTTTTTCAATGGATTGTCGATGATACATAAAAAGAAGGTGCTACCTATGGAGACACCAAGTAATATGTCATCCAGTGTTTAAAGGTTATAATACAACATTTTTAACTCCAAATGAAATTCTGCATACACCAATGAAAACGATAATACAAATTATTTAAAACAAAAAAAATCATTTATTCCCATTAAACATTGTAAAAGTGTCAGCCTCTTTTTCAACACTATTGTCAATTGTCGGTTATTCATTTTGTTTTCTTTCTTTCTTTCTGGCAGTGTATGGTGACCTGTTGGAAACATATGTGTCCCACCAATGTAGAATACCTGGCAGCTGTGTTTTTGATTGCTCAGAATGTAAAGGTATTGTATTAGTCCTCCCTTATCATAACCTAAAATGATAAATTATTAGTTTAACGGAGTCATCATGGTACAGAAAAAACAAAAAAGCGCCAGAGGGGACTGCTCAACCAGTACAAACCAATGTACACATGAATAAAATTAGAATCAAAGTCTATTTGGAAATAGATGAATGAATAAAAAATTGGTGAATGAGTAAAATAAAAAACACGTTTAAAAACACGTTTAAAAGATGTGTGTCTGTAGGATGCTGCCCCAAATCAGCCGGGGAGACTGTAAATCTAGGGAAAAAACACAAACAAGGGGCGCCTTTCCTGGTGCAGACAAATTTAATAAGATCAGAATTGAAGAAACATATAAAACATACTCACAAAATTCATGATAGAAGTATAAAAGATATATAAGTTAAGTCCATGGACCCAAGGTGAAGTCTATGAGAGCTGCACAGCCGTGTCTATGTGTCAGCAGGAGACTGTGTGCTGTATGATGACGCGTTTCCGAGGTCACGCCCCCTTCATCAGATCTGATCTGATCTGATCTGATGAAGGGGGCGTGACCCCGGAAACGCATCATCATACAGCACACAGTCTCCTGCTGACACATAGACACGGCTGTGCAGCTCTCATAGACTTCACCTTGGGTCCATGGACTTAACTTATATATCTTTTATACTTCAATCATGAATTTTGTGAGTATGTTTTATATGTTTCTTCAATTCTGATCTTATTAAATTTGTCTGCACCAGGAAAGGCGCCCCTTGTTTGTGTTTTTTCCCTGGAGTCATCATGGTGACATATAGATATCTTAAAGATTTATTAAACTCTGTATTGTTAAGACAGGCCTAAAGCAAGGTATTTCCATCAAACTTCAAATTCAACCTTCAGTCTGTAACGCTATCTTTAACCCTTTCGCTGCCAAGGACGTATGGCATACGGACCTACAAAAGTGCTTCCAGCTGGCCAGGTCAGTATGCCATACGGACCTGGCATTTACAGTTCTACTATAAGCTGATGGTCGCTTTAGCGACCATCAGCTTATAGTATAACTGTTCAGCAGACTGTCCCCTTTAAATTAATAGCTGTCATCAGCGGCTCACAAGCCGCTGATGACTGCTATTAAGAAAATTCAAAAATGGCTTGGCCAGCTGATTTGAAAAATGTTCCGGAGGGCTTGGCAGCGAAAGGGTTAAAGGAATTTTGTTAATAATGCCAATTGCATTTTGCACTGTCACAGATATTATTATTACAAAAAACATGTATACGTTATGCAAATCATAATATGTATTTTTTGCATTATATGTCACTACTTGCTCTGAACACTTAAACTGGCAATAGACGGCTCAACTTTCTCTCATTCTGCACACGGCTTGCATGAGAGAAATCAGACAATTCCCCCATGTCTGCTTAATAACAAGGATGGTGGAATCTTCACTAATGGCTATTATATTCAGGCACCCTCAGTTGCCTGAATACACAAACAGTGACTGCATCTGATAGAATCCAGATACTCTTTGACTGATCATTTTCCAACCAGCTCAGACGATTTTTAAAACGACTTTTGTTGATCCGGTTGGTGCTTGCAGGGCAATGCTCAGCTCCAATGTTGGCTTGTACAACTTGTACTTGTACTCTGGTGGGAATTCTTGTACAACTTGTACTTGTACTCTGGTGGGAATTCTTTGTTGATCCGGTTGGTGCTTGCAGGGTCATGCTCAGCTCCAATGTTGGCTGATTCAGCAGAATATTGGCCACATGTGAGCAATCTATAGGCAGCTTTTTTTTTTTTTCTTCTTACTGTTTGCCAGAGTGAATGTCAACATGGAGTTGTCAACTGGTGATTGGCACAGAGTACACACATTTAATAATGCCCTTTCTGAGCAAAGGGAGTGTGGCAATCTTTAATGCTTTGCTAAACGATGTGTAAAGGGCACTGAACTTTTTACAGATTGCATTCTGGCAGGATAAATAGGTCTAATTCTGGCATTCACCACAGATTAATGCCTACATAAACTCTCAACACAGCCACAGTCAATCAGTTCATTGTCCACAGAAATTATCTGTTTCACTGATGTTATCTGCAGAGACTAATTGTATTTTTAAATACATTTGATTAGTGTATTTTGTAACTTTGATAATAGTTCTTAAATGTTGTAAAAGAAAAGCCTTTGTCTATTCTTTACAGGAATTGATTATGTTAATGTGGCAGGTTTTCAGACCCTTAGGTATCTTACATTACAATAACAAAGTAATCCATCTGCTGCGTACTCTGGTGGGAATACATCATAAAACTTGGAAATTTGGAAAAAATTAGATTACTGTAGTGTTCTTTCCCCCTTAAGCACGAAACATACCGCAAATATGAAATGCTATATTTTTCAGTAATGAGTGTGCTGTCCTATTTTTCTCCACTGCAATACAATTCCTTTTTGTGAACTATTTATTTTATTAGAAATATGAACGAGTAGAATATATCTTCAAGGTTGTTGAGAAAATAGGCTAGTAATGGGGGTTCACCAGTCTGGCTGTACTGAACAACTGATTGATTGAGGGAATTTTAAGAGACAGTGTTGCAATCATGATACCTTAGGCACATACAAATGATGACTTTCTCTTGTGCTGCATCAACGTATTGCTCTGCCGAGCTGCCTTTCTTTCTGAGTTTTCCTGTTGGATTTACCCACAAGGGTACAGTGACTCTGGTCAGAGAGAAAACATTGTGAATGCTATGCTTGGATGTCCGCTTACTGCACCTTTCACTAGCCTATGAGTGCCTCCTGGCAAATATTAACCTTCATGCGGTTCTTGTGCCTGCTTTGTCTTGGTTAACCCCAAGCCCATAGATTAGTAGTAGTTAGGTAGCCCAAATTGCTGATTAGTATCTGCAGTAGCATTAAAATGAAATCCTAAAACGAGTGTACCCATGCAGCTGATCTGAAGCTGCCTAATTTTCTCATCAGTCACCAGGTGTAGCTGTAGTGATAGATGTCACCGAATCATTGTGCTTCACCATAGGTTGTATAAAGGCTATGTGTCTTCTTTCACATTTTGGCAAACATCTCTGCATATATTTTCAGTAGTGCATGCACAGACCCTCTTCCTTTAAACATGACAGCTAGAGTATTCATAACAGCAGAACTCACAAGTCAGATAGAGCCTTTTGGGCATAACAGTTCATGATGTGACAAGAGATATAATCCTGCTTTAAAAAAATTAGTAAACCTTTCCCAGAGAATGTAGGTAGTAATATTTCCAATTTCAAATCTCCTAAGGCCTTGTTCACACCAAGCGAGTTCCAGGAGCAGAGCAGTTACAGACCGGATCAAAACTGCGCCCAATGTATTCCAATGGTATTTTGGGCTCTAGGTCACACCGCAGCTATCAGTTCCAGAGCATGTAAAAAAACTGCAGCAAGCCCTATTTTACCTGCTCTGGAACGCATGCAAATGCATCAGAAACACATGCAAACGCCCTGGAATGCACTAAAAGCCCACTCTAAACTAAAAATATATATATATTTTTTTACCAAAAACGGCCCGGAACGCATCAAAAACGCGGCACAACCCACTGCACTGCGTGTGCAGAAACTCATGCAGATCTGGTCTGCATTTGGTGTGAACAAGGCCTTATGCTTTCCATGCCTACAGTTCTCCTGTGACGTAAACAAGGAACTCAATATATGTTACAAGTGGAGATGAGCCTGGGCTTGGTGCAAGCCCAGTTCGCAGGCCAACCCTGTTTAAAACTGTGACTGCCACTCCCTCTCCCCTCCCGACCCAATCAGTTGCATCAGGGGCATTCCCTGCCTCTTTTCAACATATAACTGTGGGGCAGGGAGTGTGCCTCTCCACAACTTATTGGGCCTGGATGTGGGGTGTGGTAGGCACAGTTTTGAGCAAGCTCAGAAGAACTGGGTTTGCACCAAGCCCAGGATCATCACTACAAGCAAGTAACCCAGAAAGCATAGAAAAAAGGAGGCAATTAGCATGTACAAAACCATGAACTGGATCACAGGTATAGATCAGCTAAAACTCAAGAACTGGGCATTGAAAAAAGAAAAGGAGAACAGCAATCTCTAGTAGTAGCTATGGGTATGATGCATTATGTGGTTGGTAATTTGTATGTATTTTATTTTCCACTTAGGCATTTAATTGTAAGATCAGTAATTGCAAAGGGTATCGTGAGTGAAATTTTCGAAACCAGGAAAATTTTTGGATCAAAGGCCAGTGATATTCAAAAAAGCAGTGTGATGTAATTTGTTTTTTATTCGTTTATTTTTAAAAGCGTACACAGTGTGGCTTCACAACCCACAGCTTTGAATTAGAGTGGCAGTGATCTCTTTTTTTCTTGTTGCTGTCCATAATCCCATTAGAGAAATGTCACTTCTTGGTTCTGTGACAGCAAGACTGACAGCAAGACAGGAAAATACGGAAGTGATTGTCACTGGCACAGGAAGACATGGATAATAATAACCCGACATAGTTTCTAACCTGTTCCCATTTTACTGGAAACGTGTTTTGTTGCTGCTTCTGTTGCTAGTGGAGAGAGTCCAAATCACATCCTGTCCTGACAGGAAGTCATGGAAAATACACCTCAAAATGATCACAGGCAAATACAGTCCAGATAGAGGTTTTATCCCTTTCCCACTGTGTCCAAAGTTGATAAAAAATTTTGGCTGGCATTATGCTTAAAAGAAGCCTGTGCTGTGAAATATGGCTGTTGCCAGTGGCGTAACCAGAGTTCTGGGCGCCCGGGGCAGACATTTTTTCCCCCTCCCCCCCATTATACAAACAACCACTGGAACTGTAGACGTCCCGCAGAGCTGGGCCGGCTGTCATTTTCTCTCTGATTCCTTTCATCCCCGCTGGGCACTGCTCTGTGTACCAGCGGGGATGAAAGGAATCACGGCCGCGCCGACAAAACGGCAGGAAAATTTCACTTTCGGCATTTAGCCGAAAGTGCCATTTTCGGCCGGCGCCCCCCCTTCACTTTTCGCCCGGG